ACATGAACCCCAAATCAAAGATGAACTGTCAACTTGTTATGTAGTCATTCACGTGCAGATTGGTTTGAATAACAGAAATGTCCTGTGTTTAAAAGATCAAAGAATAAAACTGCACGTAGCCACTTTGTTTATCTAAAAGGTGCTCCAGCGCACTTTAAGGAATTATTTATGACCCAATATTAACCATCGCAAATTTTTTTAAATCATGGGATAAAGTCAATCAACAAACAATACGGGTCTACTTTATTACAAAAACATTGGTGAACTTATCAATTTGTCTAAAATCATAACGCTAATCAACAAACAATACTATTGTTCTTTATTACAAAAACATTAGTGAACTAATCTCTGTCGTGTTGGCGAGTCAAGCTAGTTAATTATTAGGTAAATAAAACAATATAAACAACCAATGAGTTAAAAAAAAAAACAAAAAAAACCTGATTTATTCCAATCAATTTATATACGAGTCAAGTATTACCCTAACCCTGTACGAGTTTGCTTCTGAACGGATTAACTGACACCCGTTCAACTTGTAAATTCCAAATACAAACTGCTTACCGTATTCATGCCATAGACACTAATATCCTAATTAAATAAAAAACATTCTGTTTCCAATAATTATCACAGACACAAATATTAATTTTGATTGTTTTATCCATCAATACACAGAGTAAACACATCTAACAACCAGATCTTATGAATTCGAGCCTCTTCAATAGTTATAAAGCACATCAAAAAGTGTAGAATAAATTGCCTAACAGAAAAATCATGCTTTATAAGTAGTTAAAAGTAGTAGTAGTATCCTGGTGTTTAACGTCTGCTTCCACATAAATGATATCGCAGACAAGAAATAGGAGAGCCGAAGCTGCTTCCTGTTTTTAGAATATGATTTTGCAATCTTTCAATTTTCGGCCTTAGGCCATGGATTGTGTTTTGTGGGAAGTTCTTCCCTTTATTTAGTAAAAAAACATATCGTTTGGTAGATGATTTCTTCTGCTTCTAGATTGGTAGATGTCTTCGTTGTGGGATTAGTGTTTAGGTGCCAGCCCCGTCTTATCGTGACCTCCCCTTACTCCACAATCCCACTCTATGGGTTTGGTATCTGTTTCTTTTGCGGAATAGTGTTTAGGTCCCGAGTCCGTCTGATCGTAACTCCCCTTACTCCACTATCCTGCTAGTTTGGTAGATGTCATCTTTGTGGGATTTGTGTTTAGGTGCCAGGCCTGTCTTATCGTGACCTCCCCTTACTCCCCTATCCCACTCTGTAGGTTTGATGTCTATTTTTTGCCGGAATAGTGTTTAGATGCCAAGTCCGTCTGATCGTGACTCTCCCTTACTCCACTATCCTGCCAGTTTGGTATAAATCCCCTATGTAGTTTAGTGTTTAGATGCCAAGCCCGTCTAACCGTGACCCCCTCTTACTTCACTATTCTACTTAGTCCAACTGTGTCCATTAGGGCGTGGATTTGTTTGAAGATTTGCAGTTTCAGATCTGGTCTCGGGAAGAGTAAGTTCTTAGTGTTGAATGGTATGTTGTTAGTCTCCATCATTCTCACTAGTTCCCTTCTCTCCTCCTTGTATACCTCGCAGTCTACCAGGACATGGTTGGTGGTACATTCTTCTCCGCACTCACAGACGATGACTTGGTGTTTGTAGTCTCGCAGCCGCTCTTTAACCCTTAGTTTCAATATAAGTCTGCATATATCTCTTCTAGGGTGATTGATCGCTGTCTTCGTGTAGATTTTGTCATCCAGTCGGAATCTGTATGTGTCAAGTTCAGCGAGTTTTAATTCCCAGAATGAATTCACCTGTCTTTTAACCATACTGTAGATTTCCTTGTTGCTGTAGTCTATGGTGCGGAGTGGTGCTGTGTCCTTGAGACCTTCGTTGGTGAGTTGATCTGCCTCCTCGTTTCCTCTAATGTTGACATGTGATGGAATCCACACGAGCTCTAATTTGCTTCCCTTCTCTAGGACCCTCTGGTACAGCTGCCTGATATCCAAAATGACTTCTGGTCTTAAGTCCGAGTTGTCATTTTGGATTGAAATCAGACTGCTCAGAGAGTCGCTTGGAATGACGAACTTACTAGTCTTTTGATGGGAGATCCATGATATAGCGTCACGAATTGCCACAAGCTCCACAGTGTACACCGAACAGTTATTGGGCAGTTTCCTGCTTATTCTCTGTTCCCCGTTTGGCGGATATATTCCAAACGAGCTTGTTCCCCTTTCAGGGTTGCGTGAGCCATCCGTGTACACATGGTCCCAGTCATCAGACGTCCAGTTGTCTTCCAGGTGTTCTAGAGAGAAAGCACGTGCAGCAGTGGGGTTGTTTTTCTTGTCGGTTTTCTGTAGTAGATCTAGATTGACCGGCAGTTTAGGGAGCGTCCCAGGGCGATCACTGGGGGGTCGTGTTCATTTATCACCGAGTCCCCCAGTCGCAGTTCCTTGATTGTTTCCCTGATACCCTGGCCGAAGCTTTTCTTTCTAGGATCTCTCACATACCTTGTTTTTTGTAGGGGATCTTTCGCCCAGTTGCGAGATCTTGGCCCAATACCTTGTCGCTAGTTCTTTTCTTCTGAGGGATAGGGGCAACTCCCCGGCTTCCTGTAGTAATGCCTCTCTCCTAGTCCCAAGCCCTACGCCAGTCGCAATACACAGAGCTTTGTATCGGATGGTGTCAAGCTTACTTAAGAGTTTTGGCGCGCAGTTCATGAAGGCCAAAGAGCCGTAGTCTAATACAGAGCGTATTAGAGCACGATACACCATCATTAATGTAACTCTATTGGCACCCCACATGCTACCCGTTATTTTTCTCATTAAATTTAGGATTTTGGAGCATCTATCTACAGTCTACAGTCAAGTCGATGTGCGGTTTCCAGGTCTTGGTTTGGTCTTTAAACTCGATGGTTTTCCTGTTCATACACAGAGTCATTCTGCTTATCCCACTACCCCTGAGACTTTAACCAAACCAAACCAAATCGAAAGCCTTGGTCAGATCTACGAACACGGCACATAAGAGGCACCCCGAGAGGAGTGCCTGTGACATAACTTGCTGTAGTCTCACCAAGTGGTCCATTGTTGATCGGCCTTTCCTGAACCCGCTTTGATTTTCGTCGATCAGACGGTTACTCTCCAGATAGAACTGTAATCGGATGTTAACCATTGTCTCCAAGGTTTTGCATAGTGTGGATGTCAAGCTTACTGGTCGATAGGACTCTGCCTTTGTCCTCTCTTTCCCCGGTTTCAGTAGAGGGATGACGTTTGCTTTCCGTCATTCTTTAGGTACCTCTCCTGACAGCAAGGATGTGATGAAGAAGTTTAGTAGTGTCGTTTTGCGTTTCTAGGCAGATGTTTGAGCATTGAGTACTTTACTTTGTCCTCACCAGCCGCACTATCCTTCTTGAGGGAAAGAGCCTTATTTAACTCTTCCTCAGAGAAGGGGATGTTGATTGGGTCAGCCTCTTCATTAGATTCAATTACTAATGAAGGGTGCTGCGAGTAAAAGATTTCCTTCCTCTTCAGAAACTCTGGTGATTGGTTTTGTATCTCTGCTTGCGTCTGCAAATGTTTTAGCAAGTAGATCTCACTTTTCCTTGCCGTTGGTAACACGTACTGATCTCCATCTTCAAGGTTTGGTATGTTGAATGATCTGCGATTCCCGTTCATGGTGTTCAGCTTCTTCCAGACGACACCTGTTTGCGTGTTTTTATTCAACGTATTACAGAATGTCATCCAGTGCCCACTTTGTGCCTTCTGGATGGTGTCTCTTGCAGCGTATTTGCGGGGTTTGCCGTTTGATCGCCTTTTGTGGTTTCTTCGTCGTCGTCTTCTTTTTTTTACCGTGTTGATTGAATTAATCATGACACACAAGACATCGGCGTTGACCACGTGTGTCCTTATTTTGCCGAGTAGGCTTGCCATCTTGGTAGTTTGGTCCTCATTGGACACGGCCATCCTAAGGAACTCGATCATGAAGTTCATGAAGCCACTTTCCGTTTTAAATTTAGGAATGAAGTGTTCTTCATGAATCTTCGTTTTCGGTTCCTATTCTTTCTTCTTGGATGGTTTTTTCTTCTGTTTGACCTCTACAGGTTTGGCAGATATTTTCTTCTCTTTCTTCTTCTTGTCTTTACCTTTAGGGGTGGGGGTTGCATCGGACGTCGAGAGAGTCGGTGCTGGAGCTTGTTTTGGTTCCACCACCAGTTCTCTGACTACTTTTGCTTCTCTCTCCTTGTTCTTTACTTGCTGGGTTGCCTCCCTAAAGGTAAGTTTATGAAATCAAAAACTAAAAGACTGGTTATAATTATATAACTTTATTAATCATAATATTTGGCAAAAGGGGCAGACTCAGCTATATAATGAAGTACATAATTAACTAGTTACGTAATTTCTTACGTAACAAGTTATTCTGTAATCCCCCTCCCCTCGATGCAGTGTGACATCCTGTGATTACACGTGCCGGAAGAGAAAGATATTTTTACAACTCCGTGTAACCGGATGTGTACTGCAAGAGCCGGAAGAGGGATGCTTGACTACACAACATCATGGGCTATGTACGAATTCGCCGGATTTATGGTGTTGGGCAACACGACATCATGGGCTATGTACGAAATAGCCGGATGTATGGTGTAAGATATGAATAATGGGATCCCCCCCGCTCGTCGTAATGGGAACAGTACGAGATCAAGTAATTTTGGGGAACATGGTTAAATGATAATGCTGGATTATCATTTAATATGGCCCTGCTGGATTATCATTTAATATGGCCCATCCTATACTTATTAAATAGCCGAGACTTCTAAAATACCTCTGGGTACATATATGTATACGAACTGACAATATTGCACAACAATATGCGTATTACTTAAGCGGCTTAAATTAAGCGAACTATAGTGTATACTGTTAACAGATACGGTGAAATATCCTATGCTTCGTTCAAAACGAGAATGTACATGCAAATGAATAAACAACCTACAAATAGTTATAGCAATAACGTATTTATTTACAACAACTATCATAAAGACATATATCATTATTGATTTTAAATATTTTGATTGTAACACCTTGTCTAAAGGGATCAGTTTTAGACAATTTAAGTTTTAGTAGGCAACAGTCTTCTAAAATTGTAAGATCCTGCACACACAAATGAAAATTTGGGTCAAAATTGTCTGTTATGGTAAATTCACCACAATGTAAGAATCCAAAAAAGGCCACAAGGCACACTGTCTCAAAAAGAATGTTATTAAACGGAGAGTAAAGGCCTTTCCTCAGACAATAACAGATGTCCCTGAGAATATGGAAAGTCACTGGATGTCTAGGTCTAGCCGTCCGTACTTGCACTCGTTTAACACCTTTAAGCATTGTATATAAACTATTTAGTTGATTACTATGAGGGTAACTAATGTTATTCTCCATTGACATAAAGCAGATGCCACAGAGATAAAGTTTAATTGTGCTGTAAGAAATACTTAAGCGACTGGCGCAAAACGTAGCGAAGTAAATTAATGTTTGTTCGTTCACTGGTACATTGGAGAAATCTGGCTTGACGTATGCGAGAACACATGTCATCAACAAGAAATTAATATATCTCTGGAAACCTGTCTGGTACGTCACTCTCGTGCTTGGGACAATGGCATGTTTCCACAGGAACTTAAGCGCTGGTCTGAGTTCCATAAAATGTTGTGAATTGATGGTACTTGGCAAGGCTTCTTGTCGACGGTAGGGTCCAACTTTCGAAATCTGTCTATCTGCAATCGTGAAAGAGAGTCAGCGATTAAATTTATGCGGCCAGGAACATGGGTGGATTTGAAAGTAAAGTTATATATGGCTGCATAATTAGTAAGAGTTCTGAGTAGCCGCATGAAATGGGGTGATTTTGATCGACCTTTTTGTACGATTGCGACTGTAGCCGTATTGTCACACATGAACACTAGACGTTTCCTTGACCATGATTTCCCCCAAATCACTGCGGCGACGACTATAGTGTACAGTTCACGAAATGCAATAGAAATTTCAGTGTCGTCAAATACTGATTGTTCCAGAATAGACGGCCATGATTCTGAGAACCATTTGCCTTCAAAATAGCCGATAGTACCGGACGCGTCCGTAAATAGTTGAATATCGTCGCACAGGGTGGAAGCGACGTTGTGAAACATTGACACTCCATTCCAGGTAGACAGGAATATTAACCACATTCTAATATCCTCGCGACATTCAGCATTGAGCTTTAGGTGGTGATGTAATCCGTACACTTGTGTAGATAACTTAATTAAATGTTAAACAAATGACCTTCCTGGCAGCACCACCGTTCTTGCGAAATTTAAGTGGCCGAGTAATTGTAGGATTCCGCGTTCATTTGGTGCATGAATGTCTAGTATGGAAATCAGATAGGAACGAAGAAATTCTGCATAATTTGTCGCTGGGAAGTCTTGATTCCATCTTAACTGAATCCAGAATTATACCCAGATATTCTATCACTGTTGCAGGCCCGAAAGTTTTATGTTTAGCCATGGGTATATTTAAGTGGTTGAAAATTAGATGTAGCAATGCCATGTTCCTCTCACCGCAATTGTTTGGATGTTCGAATGTAATAAAGTCATCTAAAAGATGGAGAATATATTGGATATCGTAATTATTAGTAGCGATCCAGCATATGGCTTGTGACAAAGCATCGAATATTCTGGGACTCGAGCGGCATCCGAAAGCGAGTCTTGTATAATAGTAGTATTCCTTGCGCCATCTGATACAGAAAAGATGCCACTGTGAAGGTAGTATTGGGATGAGTTTGAAAGCATCCGAAATGTCTGTTTTACACATAGTAGTATGTTTGCCTAACGTATGTATAATGCGAACTGCATCATCGATTTTTACATAGCTTAATCAACATTCCTCTTTGCTAATTAGCTCGTTGATGCTCAAATGTTCGTCACTGTCGTGTGGTGATGACAGATCTACTATCAGCCGCGGCTTCCCACTGTATTTTCCAATTGGGCTAACCCGATATTTGGAAAAGGGCAGCTTTTGAAACGGGCCCTGTAGGAAACCTTTATTCACTCCAGTTTGGATTAATGTGTCCACTTTGTCTTTTTGTTGTGAAGCTGACAATAAGTTCCTGCATTCATTAGTCGGTAAATCAGTCTCTGTTACCATTGTATCGAAACCGAATCTAAAGCCGTCACACAAATAGCGTACAAATTCACGATCTGGATGTTTTAAAAGTTCCTTTCCTAGTTGTGGAATATTAATGGGCGAGTTAATAATATGTGCACTGTTAGTGTCATGTACCGGTAGTCAGTCTCTATTAGTTCTAGATGTCACATTGTGTGGTCTTTCTTACCGCATGTAGCACTAACGTGGTCGGAAGAATGACACGAACTGCAAATATGGGCGAATGGACACCGTGTACGGAAACACTTTCCTGAATTGTAGTTGTTGCAAATTTCTGTCCCAATTGATTTAACCCTGGGACGTCCGTGGCGATCTTCTCTTGCTGCAGCGTTTAAATTTTTTGAGTTGTAATTCTGGATATGGTGTTGGTATCCTCCTGTATTACTTCCCGATTGCAGCTGAGGACAGAACGGTGTGGCGTGCGTAGTGGAATTACATGCACCACATGAGTTGACACGAGAATTTCCGACAACCATACTGAGAAGTGTCATATCCTTTAGAGACCAATCAACTTTAATGTTGCTGTCTCTCAGCGCTGCTGCAGCCCTAGCAGAGAATTGCCGGTGGTATTCGAAGTATCTTGAGCCGTACATATTGTGGATGTCGATAATGTTTGCCTCATACATATCCAATTCCTCCCTGTGTTCTGGGAATTTGGTGGCCATAACTCTTTTAAATTTACCGAACGCAGGGTTTTCTGTAATCTCGGATCTGGATTATTGTTAAAGTTAATGGTAATGCCGTTGCCGGGAGTAATCTCTGCATCGGATTGTTGGGTGTGGGTCTCTGACTTAGGTATTAGTAGAGATACAAGATTAACATCTTTCCCTTCCCAAATCCGTTTTTTAATGTTGTCGGGAACAACGTCAATATGCGGAATGCATTCAGATGGAACTCCGTATTTAGATTTGGGAAAATGGTACCCACCTTGCGTAAGCAGGCCGAAATTGTTCGCGTTGGTACCACTTCCACTTTGGCAGCTTGTCATTGTCGCCATTGTTGAACTTGAACTTGAAGCGGAATGCTTGTCTCTTACTCTTAGGTTTATTGCACTGTCACCCGTCATCGCCGCGTATGCCGTACTTAACGAGTTCGTTTTTTCAGTATGGCTGGCTGTGTTGTTACTGACGAGAGACAGCATGGTTCGTTGGAAGTCTGCCATGCTTTGTTGTATAGATTGTTTACTGGCATATCACTGCGCGGGATGCCGTGCGCAGGTGCTCTGTCTGTAATCCGGCTGTCTTCTTCCGCGGTCTGTTGTCGATCCGAATGGTTTCTCTCTCGGCCTTCCACGGTTGCAGGTATGGCATCGCTGTTGTAGGAAACATGGTTTAACACTTCCGATCTCGGTAATGAACCAGGATTTACACTACGACTACCGTTCGGATCTCCCGGAACTATATTTTGTCTCCCTGGTTCAGGCTCCGCAGACGTTTGGTTCTGTGGTAGTGTTTGCCGATTCCGGCCCACGTTTTCTTGGTAAATTTTCCTCATTATCGTTTTCCCCAAGCTTGTTGTAACTTTTGAATTGTCCAGTTACCTGGATTATCGGAGTTCCATGTGGCTTGCCTGGCTCTTGTCGTCCTGCGTCTTTTTTGCGGGTTTTGCTTGTCCGCCATTTACAGCCTTTCGAACTTCTAGTTTTGAGTGAATCCGGGAACAAAACGCTTCCACTGGTCGATAAGATGTTTAATAAACGTCGCTCTACGTATTCCCTTGAGTTCGGAATTAAATGTAAAAACGGTAGTAAATGTAAAATGATAATAATGTAGACTTTAGCAGGATAAAGACTGAGAACTAATGAATTTTCACGGCGAGGGAACTAAGACAAATGCCAGGATGTGTGTATCAGCCAATCAGAAGGAAGACTGATGCCAGGATGGGTGTATCAGCCGCTCAAAGGCGAGTCTCGGTGCCGTGTATGAATATATACTTGGTAGATACTAATGAATATTAAAGATACATTATGGGAGATTAGATAACGAGTTGGCAGTTCTCACTATAATAGTTAAAAACTACATAATGTAAAGGCAACTTGCTGAAAATTTCAGTCAAATTGATCCACTATGAACCCAGAACCAAGCAGATGAAAGTTCCACTTAGCCTCGATCATCATTACTGAAGTCGATAAGACAAAACTAATAGTCTTGATTATCCATTTAATCGTTAATCACGAAGGAAAGTTTTGCAGCAAATCGGACTGTAATCCAACAAATATCGCAGGCAAGCCTTGACATCGAGAGCTGATTATGGTCTGGATAAGTTAATTTATGTCTAATTAATAGTTTTTATAACATTTCAGGCCTAAAGAAAGACCTACAATAGGCCGATTTTGCTCTTGCATAATGTATGTTTAATTAGGGATTATTTAATTTTTTTTTATTTTTATACGCCCACATTGAAATGTGGTCGTATATTGTCATCGCCCCCGTCCGTCCGTCTGTCCGGCGTCCACAATTGCTTGTGGACGCTCTAGAGGCTAAAGTTAATATCTGATTGACTTTAAATTTATACACAGTGTTTAAGGTCTTGAGACGAAAAATCCTATTGATTTTCAGCGATTTCCGATAATTACTGCCAGAGTTATGGCCCTTGATCACTTTGAAAAATCTTGTGGACGCTCTAGAGGCCAAAGTTAATATCCGATTGACTTTAAATTTATACACAATGTTTAAGGTCATGAGACGAAGACACCTATTGATTTTCAACGATTTCTGATAATTACTGCCAGAGTTATGGCCCTTGATCACTTCAAAAAATCTTGTGGACGCTCTAGAGGCCAAAGTTAATATCCGATTGAGTTTAAATTTATACAAAGTGTTTGAGGTCATGAGACGAAGAAGCCTATTGATTTTCAGCGATTTCCGATAATTACTGCCAGAGTTATGGCCCTTGATCACTTCAAAAATCTTGTGGATGCTCTAAAGGCCAAAGTTAATATCCGATTGACTTTAAATTTATACACAATGTTTAAGGTCATGAGACGAAGACACCTATTGATTTTCAACGATTTCTGATAATTACTGCCAGAGTTATGGCCCTTGATCACTTCAAAAAATCTTGTGGATGCTCTAGAGGCTAAAGTTAATATCCGATTGAGTTTAAATTTATACAAAGTGTTTGAGGTCATGAGACGAAGATTCCTATTGATTTTCAACGATTTCCGATAATTACTGCCAAAGTTATGGCCCTTGATCACTTTGCAAAATCTTGTGACGCTCTAAAGGCTAAAGTTATCATCCGATTGACTTCAGATTGATACACAGAGTTTAAGATCTTGAGACGAACAAGTATATTGATTTTCAATGAATTTTTATGACTTGAACAGTTAAATCCATGATATTAAAAGCTTTGCATACAAAACATTAGCATGGGGTAGAACTTTATAAAAACCAAACAAA